GTGCAAGCTTTGCTGAGGAGACAAGGGGCTGCAATGATTCAGTATCGAACCTTAGACAATGACCAGGGGAGAACACATGATTGACAATGAATTTTGTTGATTTTTTTCTCAGAGACGGCAGATTATTATAACAAGAAACTTGGTAGTGACGGCCGCGTGCTTGTCGTCAGTTCCCTTAAGAAAGCCCGGCTTTTTCAAGACTTTCCGGAGAGCCGGACGGGTCTTGTTAGCTCGCAGGCCCATTGCGGCAGAAGACTGAAGTTCGATGCGTCGCTTGATGGGTGATGGCGACCAGTACAGCTAGAAAAACTGAAAACCTGAAAAACTACATTCTGGTGAAGATATCTGAGGTCAACATAGTACCTGAGAATTTAGTTTTTCAGTTTTTCAGCTTTTCAGTTTTTCAGTTTTTCAGTTTTTCAGTTTTTCAGTTTTGCGCATTTCATTAATTAATTTTGGCCTTAGAAAAATATGTGCCAAAATATGTAGAATTTACTGTAAATAGCAGTAAAATCAAAGGGTGTATAGGTTTTGGGGGGTACCACATATATATATATACATATACATATACATATACATATATATATCATCATCACCATGTAGGGTGGTTTCCCAAAGTGCTGTCCCTGCTGTCGCGTCCTCGGGCGCGACCTGCGTCGTCTGCGCCTCACCCCTCGAGGTGAAGATGCCAATGAGCATCCCAACCTGGGATCACCAATGGTGACTTAATGGTGTTTTAATGGTCTTTTAATCACCATTTAAGCCAAGGTTTAATGGATATTAATGGATATTAATGGATATTAATGGCCCAATATCCAGCCCAAGGTTTAAAGTATATTAATGGATATTAATGGATATTAAGCTCATGAATATCTTAAATTGGTTGGTGGTTAAAATGGTGTTTAAAACAAACTGGTGTTTAAAATGGTTTCACCATTGGTTGACATATTGTTTGATATATTTAATGGTGTTTAAATTTAAGCCCATGAATATCCAGCAAAATATCCCATGCAAATTTGAGAAACGAATGGGAGTTCCTGCCTTCTTTTTTCCAAAGCAAGTCAGAAAATGAATGGAAAAATGGACGGAAGATGGAAGTTGAACCAACCAAAAATGTTCAGAAAACTCAAGTTGTTGCTGCAATGCAAAACTTTCGGGATTCAATCCCAAGATTTTGGGAAAAAGACAGGAGTTTGCCAAAAAGCCAAAAGACGCAAAGATGGTGATTTTTCAGGATTTGAGCAACCAAACATTGGGTGATTGACCAATAGTTCTGGAGATCGGAAACAAAAGACTTTTAGAATCCAGTGAGAATCCTAGGTCGAAAATGAATTGAGAGCTAAGTATTCATGTTTGCAACCGCAAAGAGGGAAGGAGCAACGAAAAGCAGTGATCAAACATGACCAGACCAGAAACAGGCGACGAGAAAGTCGGGATGCAAAGGCTGTCAACACATGGATGCAACCAGCAAAAGGGGAGATACGAACACTGAAATCTGGAGTTCATTGCAACAGTCCTAGTTGGGTGTATCTATGGCTCACAGTGATGAGATACAATCAGTGCTTGCTGGGTATTATACCGTATTTCCAAGCAAAAGGATAAACCGATAAACCATGTTCACCTTCCACCAGCAGGTTTTGCCCTGTAGAATCTAGAAGGGGCGTTCACCCAACCAGCAGTCATTGGCATTGGCAATTCTGTTTTTGGGACTATTGACAGAGTCATTGTGAAGGTGTCCCGTTTCAACATGTTACAATCCCCAAAAAAGATACAATGTAAAAATCGCCAAAAGACTACCTGGCAAGACTGCAATCCCTGGCAAAACTGCAATCTATCTAGCGGATCTTGTAAATTGTGTTGCGGCCAGTGTGCCACGTTACCCTAGCACCCTGGTTTTCACACGAAAGTATCAGATCCTTTTTGGTTCAATCAGATTATCTGCTTCATACGGAAAGGGCCCCGCAGTGACGTTTGTTGGTTTACATTATCCCATCTAACAACGATACATCCACCCTAAATCCAACCCTTGGCCACCTATTAGACCTGGGTGTCCATTCCTGTCCCATTCACATCCATTCACCAATTAGTTCGCCCAAGTATCCCCATTCTTATACAATAGAAATCCGTATTTCAAGCGGTCAATCTCCCATAATTTTTTGCCTCCCATACTATCCATATTTCTAGGGTTTAGATTGCTGATCCGCATCCCCATTTCCCCGTCACAATGTCATCTCTGAGCCCCAAACTGCTTGCGCCATTTCTGCTGACCTTGTCGAGGGCGTCAATGGACAGATACCCGGGAATACCCATGTTTTCACCAGCAGATGTGGGGAAATCTGTGGAACTCACATGCAAAAATTGGGAAATGTGGGAGGTCGTGACTAGCAAAACTCTAAAGAATTCGGACTGTGCGCAGGAAAATAGGGATATTAATCAACATACATCGATAATACATCGATATGATGGGTGAAAAAATCAGGCTTGGATTTTGACCAACTCTTCCATCGAGAAAATCCCAAATCTCCCAGCCGCTGACCGAAAAATGTTGAGTGGAAGCATCAGAGTACCCAGGGCATCCCAGAGCATCCCAGGGCGGTATGGCTATTAGGGTCATACTGAAAATAATGTTGACGAAACGAAGTTGATTTTTTTTTCCGCCGAAGTTCGGACTTTCTTTAAAGTTTCTCTGAGATGCTTGAAGCTGACAAACCAAGGAATGGTTTTACCACATTACAGACATTACCCTCTGGTAATTTAACATAGCTATTGAAAATGGCCGTTTATAGTTGATTTACCCACTAAAAATGGTGATGTTATGTTAGTTTACCAGATATTACAGTGATCACTGAGTAACATGCCCCAGGTTGCCTTAGCTGAGTCCCCCGGACCCTTGCGCTTGCGGCAGGCGGATCCGGTGAAACAACGACGGCCCAACGCCGTCAACAGGATTGGATCTGCGCCGTGTCACTGGCAGCTTTCTGTTGGTGACGCTTTATAAAAACTGGCTTTTTTCTGTTAGTTGGTGGAGCTGGTGTCCAAAAGATCTGGTTGGTGACTGAAATCAGTTGGAAAATTCCCATGGCGTGCTGGTTGAGCAATTCGAAAAATGCGAAGATCTGAGCCCAGGCAGCGATAAATTGCAACTTCGTCAATGGGTCGGTGGATTCTAAACCCGTTTTCATGAAGAGTATGTCTGATGGGTTGCAGATACTGAAAAAATAACACTGGGTTGTTAGAATAATCCAGGAGTGTCGGAACCTGGGTCTATCTGGGGGTTTCATTAAGCCAGTCACGTCTGAGACTTCCTTCCCAGATGATCCAAGTCAGATGTCATCCCGAAACCGAGGGCAGGACTCCCAACCAGTGGAGTCAACCGTTCCCTCTCAACCACTTCGCATCACTGAAATCGAAATCATTCAAAAGAAACACCTCAAAATCAAGCAACCGGCATCAACCGTGCATTGCTCACTAGTACCTCACGTTTGGATCTAAGCCATAGTTTTCCTGGAGATCACCATGTTACTGGAAGCGCTCAAAACACCAATTACGAGTACCATTGGAGCCTCAATTGTGTTTCTTGTCACTCTTGTCTGCCAAGCCACACAAAAGTTTCTGTTGGCCGGAAATCTGGATTCTTAAGCTGCAAAGTATCGTGCTTCAACGGTTAATTGAATGATGAAAATCCAAATCTCTGTGGCATTAAATCGATGGGCAGGCCAACTTTAAAACCGCTGGCAACATGATTTTGGAACGCTGAAACAGAGAGTGCCATGATACTCATGTGATGCTGACTGGGAGCTTGGGGCATGCGTTGCTGGCAAGTCTAAAAAACGCACGGGGCAGAATTAACTGTTCATGTGGATATCTTGATTTTCATGTGTATGATTACATGTGCATATGTATATGTGATGTGTAATCATCTATGTGTAGAGGGAGGGGAAAAGAGAGAGAGAGAGAGAGTGAGAGAGATCAAGAAAATGTGCAGGAGTAATGTATACATTTTGATTTGTCGTCTGCATGTGTATGCAGGTCAGTGTCTCACAAAAATGTGTGCTTCACGCCACTATCTCTGGAGGCCATGTTGAGACATGTTGGACCGGTGGACACATCATGGCACTCTCGCCACGTCCAGTCCAAGCCTCGTGGCAGAACCCCCCTTTTTTGGCGCCTTGGCCCACTTTGACGTGAGGGTTTTCTCTTCCAGGCCCCCGTTGAGATCAACACTTGGTTTGACGAGTTCAGGTCCCAATTGTGAAGGGGTGCAAAGACCTGTGTTCTAAATGATTGCCTCGATCAATCTATGCTGATCTCAGATCCACTGCAACACACATTTTCTTAGCAGGATTGTATACTGTACCCTCTTCTAAACGAACAGTTTGCTATTGAAAATTGCCATAGAAATAGTCGATTTACCCATGAAAAGTGGTGATTTCCATAGTTGCGTTAGTTTACCAGAGGGTAAACCATCATGTATAGTTTACGTAGGTATCTCGGGATGTCGGGCATGGCGAGGTTCTGCCAGCCATGGCTGCTCTCACTTGGAGTGCCACGCAGCAAGGCAGCTGGTGTGATGAGAGCAGTTGAACGATTGCAGGCATATCATTACCATCTTAAAATATGATAGCAGTTAATATCTACAATCAAAGATTGATGTATCCAGTTTAGATCATCAAATGTCATTAGAACATCTTTGGACATCTGATATGGGAGGATACGTACGCTTGATATCATGGCGTGAAAATTCAACAGCCAAATGTGCGTTCCCCTGCCTGAAATGTTGACAAAACCCATATTCTGCAGCCCCAATTGACCACCAAAGAGCCCATAGGTTGAGATTCCAATGGGCTAATCCTGCTTTTTCAACGTCGTTACTCATCTTACAAGCAAGGCAGGCAGATTCTAAAATTGAGATAATGGAATTACCATGGTCATTGCCAGATTGTTTTTATTCCACCAAATGCTAAATCTAGTAATCTAGTTAAATGTGATAGTTACTAATAGTTCTTTCTTTCGAACCACCGCCAGTTCGATCAGCTAAGGTTTTTTAAAAGTCCGGGACAAACGCAGGGAGTTCCGACTTCCCTCCGGCAAGTCAGTGACCCTGTTGCCCAACTCTCCGCCTCCCAGGCTAAGTGGGATGTGGCAACTGTTTTTTGTTTACCCATTTATCCGTATTTATCCGTATTTACTATATATGATATGACTATATTTATATATGACTGATATCTAAAAAATGTAATCCATTTATGTTGATCGATGTCCGGGTGTATCTAATTTTGACCCATCCTCTTCCAACCTTTTGTGGCAACATATTTTAGAATCCAGGCTGCAAGGAAACGCAAAGAACCAACAGTACTAAGCTCCTCCTCACAATACCAAAAATGTACCTGTGATTTTCTGACTTGTCATTTCCTGAAACAATTGAGCCAAAGCTCAACAAGGCCAAAAGCGGAAAAAAAAAAAGTTCTGCAGAAAAGATGAGCCGCAAAGACTCCTAAAACAAGTGTCCTAATTTTTCACATCACCCAACGGGGATATAATCTCCAACAGATACGTTTTCGGTTGGGATGTTTTTCAGAAATCTCCAAAACCAGGGACATCAGGACATCAGGACATTTACCGAGCCAAAAGGCTCGGTTGGGATGTTCCATTCCCACCTCCAGCTTGCGCCAACATGTAGGACGGTCGCAAGTTGTTGGACATCCTCCGGCTGTTGCGGTCCTGCGAGCAGAGCAGTGGTCCATAACGCCCGGCTTCAACCGGCTTCGCAACGCCAAAGTACCAGCTCTAAGTCCGGTCCACTGAATTTATAGTCCCATTATGTGTATATACATATACATGTTTTCTTATATTGTATTTTAAAAATTATATCATATCATATCACATCATATCTTATTGTATCATATCATATCATATCATAGCATAGCGTATTATATATATATTTGATTTGATTTAGATTAGATTACAGTATTTAATGTTATATTGTATGGTATTGTGTTGTATTATATTGTATGATATGTATTGTCTTGTATTATACTATATGATACTATATGTTATTATATTATTTATATTGTATTGTATTGTATCAAAACATATCATATTATATTATACAATATAATATAAATATAAGGGATTACAGCTGCGCTTTGCCTTCTGCCAAGAGATTACATCCAACTGCTGGGAGTGAATTGTAAGTGTAGTGACTAGGCCATCAGTACTTGATCCTGCTAAGGTGGATCATCACCGGTAGCAACAGTGACGGCATGCTTGGGCGCATACCGGGTGTGTGGTGAACAGTGACAGCTCGGGCAGATTGACATGTCGATATCCCCATGTGTCGTAAGATTCTATTAGATCATATCCATTCTGGTTGGTGGTGGTTAAATAACCATCTTGAAAAATGATGGAGTTCGTCAATGGGAAGGATGACATCCCATATATGAAATGGAAAATAAAATTCATGTTTGAAACCACCAACCAGCATTGGTTAATCATCATTTTCCCTATTAAAAGTACCATTGTTGGGGCATTCATATCCCATGTGTTGCCTCAGTTCCAAACCACAACTGCTCCACTAAAACCTCTACAGAGGACTGGAATTAGTTCGATGGATCATGATGGATCCATCTTTCCCAGTTTGGTAGGGGCCCCATATCCCAATTTATGGGGCTTATATATATAATATAATCATATATAGATAACTATATCTGCTCCGCGTCCTTGGCCTGCAAGGCTGGATTGCGATCAATGGTGGCCTCGATGGCAGGTGGATCCCAGAAATGGACACCAAGCCCAGAAGTAGATGGGGATAGAATATCTTCAATGATTGTCTCACTAGGAGCTTGAGCACCGGTAGCGATGAAAAATCATGTGGCTATGTCACAAACTTGAAAACTTCAAAGAACTCCAAAACATGATTTCATGCCTTAGTTGGAAGCAAGGAGCCCATGAGAATTCTTTGCCCTTTTTGGGCACGCATCAACAGCTCTGTAAGTTTTCGTGAGGGCAGCAGACCCTCACCCTTGGAATCATCCTGCAAAATTAATCCTCCACAAAAGCCACCACCTTTCACCACTGTCCAACGCCTGTACTTATCGGGAAGGAAATGTGGGACTAAGTCGTCGCGCTTTGTAGGTTTCAGCCGATAAGATATCAACAAGACTTCAACAAACAAGAACAAAAATCCAAGGAAAGAAATAATAAGTAATAAATAAATACTAAGAGCAAGAGGGAAAAAATCGCTTCGACTAAAAAACATCGAAGAAAAACCTTCTCCAAGTGGCTGGTTTGTACTTCTCCCAGAGTCCCGACGCAGACATTTTCACCAAATCCAGGAAGAGGAGCCAACAAATGTCATAGATCCAGACCTGACAAAAAGAAGCTGATGCTGAAGTGATAGCATAGTAATATAGTTGTAGTATATATATAAGATACTATAAGTATGGGAGAAAAAAAAACTTGTATTAAATATGCCCGACATGGAGATCGATCTTCAATTCTGAGGTGGAGTTTATCCAGCTATGGCTATACTTGCATCTTCCCATATTTCGTGATGGAAAAGTCAGAAGAAACGGGTGCAGGAGGTCAAAATGATTGGAATTTGAAGTCATGGATGGGTGCCATAGTTAAACATCGCAATAGTCATGGTGGGTCCTTAAAGATATCCCCAGGGCCCCTTGCGCAAAGCCGTTTGACCCCAGACCGGCACCTTCAGCACATCCATGGGAAGCAACTTGTCTACCAGCCCAGTGGGAGCAACGAGGCACCAGATGTTGATCAACACCTCGGGTGGTTTTTCGGGTTTCTGAGGTGTCGCCGAATGTCAGGGAGATACCAAGAAATGAATAGATGGGTTATGATGGGTTCATTGAGGAAGTTTGCCGCATGGCAATTGGGATCCCTGTGGCTTGACGGCACGGTGGTTTGACAATTTTGAGACCCTAGAGGCCCATAGAGGCCCTAGATGTCGCTCAAGGCAGCAAACCTGGTCCCAAGTGAAGCGAAACGCGGAGTCATCTCCAAACCTGGAAATCCCCACCTGTCCCAGAGCGGTGCTGAAGGACAACTGCCAGGCGGGGAAGGTACTGAAGAAGAAGCTCACCGTCCGGGCGGAGAAGATCAAGATGGCAGAGGAGTTGGAGATCCTCGGTGGAGTTTTGATGATTTTTTTTCACTGGAGTTATGCTTAAAAATTGGTTTTAAAAAATGGTTAGATCATCCATGATCGGAATTCCCATGGGAATATGATACAATCTGATACAATATGTCAATATGATAGAATGATACTGAATACTCTTGATGATTCTTGATGCTTCTTGATGCTTCTTTACATTTTTTTCGGCAGCAGCTGGCAGGTTTTCAATCGGGTGTTCAATGGCGGCTTAGACGCTGTAGGAAGATGGTGGTCTCCAAGTACCTGGGCGATGATCCCAGGTTAGACACATATCGGTTAGAATCTTAGGTAGAATGATTAGATGATTAGATGATTAGATGATTAGATGATTAGATGATTAGATACCAACCAGATTAGAATGTTAGATAATGTTAGAATATACCAGATACAGAATGATTAGATAGCACCAGAATCCACCAGATACAGAATGATACAGATATCTGGTGAGTCTGGTGAACAGAAAACATCAGATTCGGCAGGTCACTTGTCCATCTCGGTTCCCGCAGAGGAGTCACCCATGCTGTGACGAAAGGCGGCATCGAACTCATCGGACATGAAGAGGTGGCCGTATTGAAGCAACACCATGGTCCTATGGGGATCTCAATGGAAACAGTAATGGAAACCATAGAAAAATATATAGAAACCATTAGAAACCATTAGAAACATTAGAAACCATTAGAAACCCCAAAAGCCTGAGTTCTGGATCAAAAAAATGATGCGATGAAAATTCAAAAAAAATCATGATTCATGTTGGGAAAGTGTGCATCTCATGGGAGCCGAGAGTCTGAACGAACATCAGAACACCCATGGAGTAGCTGGTCAACAGCAAACCCAACACCTGGGCCGCGGTGAAATCCAGGTGGTCCAAGTCATCCAAGTGGGCTGCATCACCAACTGAAATCACTGGCTCAACAGCGGAAATGGATGGAAATGGATCATATATTGGAAATATATGGAAAAATGCTCCATGATTGAAGCGTTCCCAAGTTTTTCATAGTTACTTCAAGCGATGTTTTAGTGATAGGAGAGCTGCCACGTATCCGTCAGAGCAGGACGTATCCGTCCTCACTGGCCAAAATGCTGACAGTTGGTGAAACCATCCATTTGTGTTGATGAAATGATCCAACTTGCGATGCCTGTCTGTAAACCCCAGTGTTTCCATGCCACCAGAACCTTCATATGCGTTCATATACATTCATTCACAGTCATATACATTCATATACATTTATATATAATATAAATTCGTGTACATTCACATACATAGATAATATACATTCAGACGCATTCATAGACATTCAGAAAAACTATCATATAATCTTCTCATTTTATCTGTTCTCATATATTTTCCAACTTCACATATACTTCTTACATATTTCATATACATCCCATACTAACATATTTTTCTGGGTAAATTAAACTATGTGACTACCCCGAAATATTGATGTTTGGGGATAATTCCCCTTAGCAGCCATGACTCCAATCCAGATATTTAAAAAAAGTTCTTGAAATTATCACAAAAACATCCGTTTTTTCAATCAAATACTATATTATGTTATCTTATGCTATCTTATGCTATTACACAAACACGATATAACACGATATCTTCCCATCTTGGCTCTTGAAATCTGATGGAAACAACGGCGATCGTTAAGCCATCCATCGATTCCATCGGGCCATCGCCAAGGTGCCGTGGGGGTTTCAGGTTTCGCACCCGCCACCTGGTGGTCGTAGGCAATGGTCACCTGGTCGCGAAAAAAGGGACATGAAAAATGACTGGATCCCCAGAGTGATCCCCAGTTTTACATTATTCTGACATAGTTTCTGACAATCTGGAAGTATAAATCGCATATTTATAAAAATTCTGACAGTCTTTCTGGCATTCTATCTGACATTCTCTCTGGCGTCTAGCTGAGGTCCGGCAGTGCCGACATTTGGCGCTCGCGGGCAGAGGCGGGTAAGAGGCCGGCCAGCTCTGATAAAATCTAGAGACCCTCACCTGGCAGGTGGTGAAAAAGGAATATTCATCGGATATTAATAATGGAATAAATGAATCTGGTTAAAGATAATTTTAGGATACGTACATACATAATCATATATATATACATACATATATATATATATACATATGATTGGGATGATGTAATTTGGGATGATGAATGATATAACTGTATACTATATATATATGTGTGAAACAGGATTATTAACACCCAAGTAAGTACTGGGACAGAATCGAGATATTGATGAATATGTTCATAGTCATTTAGGATGGATCTATAGGATACTATTGATTAATATAATGATTAACTAATTTGGGCGTTGATATGTGTTAATAATCTTAATAATTTGGAATAATTGGGATGATAAATTATTAGCGATATATGTATAGAAACAGGTTGATTAACCCCACAAATTATCTGGATATAATGATTGACACCCAAAATATATGACCTGTAGATCTAGTAAGGGGATACAGTGGGATATAATTAAGATGTGATTGGGATATATGTGGGATATAATATGATATAATCCATATTCCAAGCAATAAAGGTTGCGACTTTACCGACAAAAATCGGGAATTGCATTCTGATATCTTTGCACCAGCCAAACTACTGAACCCTTCCTGCCCCACCATAATTATCAAAACTACCCTCTGGTTATTTAACATAGCCATGGGAAATGGCCCATTTATAGATGGCTTACCTAGTAAAAATGGTGATTTTCCATGGCTATGTTAAATAACCAGAGGGTACATCCAATCAACAGAAATGGGAGTCTCACCCACGACCAGTGTTTCAGCTCAAGGCATCGCCACCGACATCCACTTCATCCGAAGTCACGATCTGCAAGTCGTGAAAGAGCGCCAGCAAAATGATGTACAGGGCCTCCAGAAGTGCGTTTAGTAATCCTTTACTGCAACATCCACCTGGTTGTCCCTTGATGAAAAGATACGCTTTAAAACACGCGAAAACGGTGGATAGGCGATAGGGAGAAAAAACGGCTTTAAAAAAAAAAAAAAACATCTAAAAAGCCAGACGTTCTTGTCCGTGCCGCCCCTATGATACAAGCATCTCTTTCCTGAGCTCTCTCCATACACCATACCAGGACGATCGTTCATGGCCTTGAAACGAAGATTGTAAAAGATGGCCAGGGCAGCTAGGAAGAAGACCACTTGTACGGTGATGCAAATGCGATAGATCACCTGTGATGGCCAGCTGTTTTGCACATGGCTTTCAGTGCTCTGGTGTACGCAGTGTACGCACGTGAAGTTTTCAGATATTGGCCCCTTCAAAGCGTTCCACTGGGATGGTCGAAAAGTCGATCTGGGAATGTGACCAACAATGACCCCTGAAACCATGGGATGTGGTGCGCGTTTCATGGCATGGTGATTGAACTGGCTCTGCCTAAAAAACCACTTCTGAGTAAAGCGGTTCGAGTTTTCTTTTTCGGTACCAAATATTTGGTTTTGGGCGGAGGTCCACGTAGTATATGCATAGTCTCTCAAAGTAAAATGTAGCTACAGTACAGTATTCCAGATGATTGTGCACACCTTCCAATACACGAGTTTCATAGGTACACCTATAGCTGATCTTAATGAGGCCTTTAATGAACATGAAGACTATGGCGATTGGCCATGGGTACCGGGTACCGTGTATGCCAACATCACCACTGGAGGAAGCAATCAATGTTGACTCCAAGAATTGGGAAGCTGGGAAGCCCATTTATTAGCATAGTAACTAATAGTACTCCAAAAGATCTACGACATCTAGGCACAGAAGCTTTGCCCCATGCCAATTTTTTCTGGCTGTTTCCCGGTCCTTCGTGTCGATCAGTTCCAAGTTGCGTAAGACTTCAATCGCTTGAAGATACGGCGCGAGATCCTTGGCCAACATCGAAATCGTCGCCAAGTCCGATGGCTTTGGAAAAAATATGAAAAAATGATCAGATCGGCTATCCATCGGGGAGTAAACCAACTATAAGCACTACCATAACTGGTAAACGTTTACGTAACGAACTGGAAAATCACCATTTTATAGCTGGGTAAATCAACTATAAATGGCCATGTTCAATAGCTATGTTAGTCATTACCAGAGGGTAGGAAAAATGGGTGCCTCTTGCACTTTCAGAAAGTGGAGGAACTGTACGTGTGAGCCTCACTCAACCCTCAACGCGTGGATTTTTCTCGGAATCGTGGCTGTTACAGTAGTTTTTGACGTGCTTTATTGGTGATGTTCAATCATCCTTGAATTTCATGACATTTCATGACAAAACCGAAAAAAATCATCCCAAAAAAAGTACACTCTGGTTATTTAACAGTTCGCCATGGAAAATCACCATGCTATTAAGTTCGGTAAACCATCTATTTCGATTGGGGCCATCTATACCATGGCGAACTGTTAGTCATAACCAGAGGGTAATTCAAAAATGATCCAACTACCCACAGTTCCCTGCTGGGATGACTCTCCATTCTTGGGGGCCTAAACTTTGGAGGAAACCCTCTATACCTATTGAATCCGATTTAAACCTATTGACCTATTGGGAAAAACCTGATTTCCTATTCAAAAAAAAACCGTCCAATGATGAAGGTCCTCAGGTCCTCGTTTTTTTTCACACCGTAAACCTTTCGCAAAAAGGCGCTGGATCGCGGTGTAAATGGGCGACAAACCATCTTTGGTCAGCACAATATCACCTCCCAAAATTTCACCGAAATTCGTTGACCATGGGACATATGGGACATGTCTGGCATTGAGCTTTGCGGTTGAGACATGTCTTGGGATTTTGTGATGGGATGTAAATTGGATTTTGTGATGGTGTTTAAATGGATCTAATGGGGGTTAATGGGCGATAATGGGATTTAAATGGTGATATAATAGGATAATCAAACCTGGCAATGGAAAATCCACTAAATGGAGATTTATAGTTGGGAAATCATCGAACTAAATAGGGTATTTTCCAGCATGCCACGTTTTACTACCTGCGGGTACACCCAACCATAGTTTTACCTAGCATCCCAATTGGAAGGTAATGTCCATGTTTGCTCTTCTTTCTGAAACCCCACCATTTCAGGTTGATGGTTTCCATATGTCTCTTGAATAGAATACCCGGCTGATTATATTTGTGTGTCATATGTTCTGCAAAAAGTTCTCCTATTTGGCACCCACAACCTGTGGGTCATACATTGGTTTATTTTCATCCAGCTGCACTTTTGTATCCATCCTAGTTCGGTTCCTTATGTTATGTAAACGGACCTACCTCTCGTTTGGGGGGCCCTATAGATGTAATCCCATCCCCCTGTTCATTTTCAGACACACCTGCACAGCATGTAGTATTAGTCAGGTATATCCCAATGATATCATCATTGTTATCCCATCTATCTATAGGATGTATATATATATATATGTGTGTGTTTGGTGGCTTATTGATGATTACCAACAATCAAATCTAGGGCTGCAGTCTACAGCACCCTAAATTTTTGCCAATCAATATTCCAACAATCAAAATGGTTATTACATATGAATACAAAAGGGATATAACCGACAATATATAGGGTTTCAACAGAATTCCACCAATGAACTTGGATTGTCAAGTTCAGCATACCCATGTAAGAGCAAAGGCTACATATCAAACTGTTGGTTATTCATACTTGGATGTGCATCACAGGTAGTAGATTGTGTATAATTTATATAGGGCCCATGTGGAACCATTACCCACTTACCAACTGAGATGCACCCTAAGTATATGTATCTATGTATCTATGTATCTATCTATCTATCGATCGATCTATCGATCTATCGATCTATTGGTCTATCTATCGATCTATCTATCTATCTATCTATTTATCTGTTGGTCTATCTGTCGGTCTATCTATCTTTCTTTCTTATCCTCTCTATCTATCTATCTATCTATCTACCTATCTATCTATCTATCTAGTCTAGTCTAGTCTAGTCTAATCTAATCTAATCTAATCCTATCTATCTATCTGTCTTTCTTTCTTTCTTATCCTCTCTATCTATCTATCTATCTATCTATCTATCTACCTATCTATCTATCTATCTATCGATCGATCGATCGATCTATCTATCTATCTATCTATCTATCTATCTATCTATCTATCTATCTATCTTATCCATCTCATCTTATCTTATCCTATCCTTTCCTATCGTATCTATCTATCTATCTATCTATATATATATATATATCTACCTATCTATCTAACTATCTATCTATCTAACTATCTATCTATCTTTCTGTCTATCTATCTATCTATCTATCCATCTATCTATCTATCTATCTGATTAATCTATCTATCTCATTAATCAATCTATCTATCTATCGACCTATCTATCTATCTATCTATCTACCTATCTATCTATCTTTCTTTCTTTCTTTCTATCCTTTATTCTTTCTTTCTTATCCTCTCTCTCTCTCTCTATCTATCTATCTATCTCATCTAATCTAATCTAATCTAATCTATTCTAATCTATATAATCTAATCTAATCTAATCTAATCTACAATTATTGTTATTACTATTATTACTATTATGAATATTTCTATCTAATCTACCTTTCTTGTTATTACTATATGTACTATCATCATAGTCATCATCATCATCATCATATTTTATCACTATCATTATCATTATCATCATTATCATCAATATATATATATATATATCATACAAAAATATATATATCATCGCCTGCCGACTTCGCCGCATCAGTGGCCCCGTGCACCGCGATGCCGATCTGCGCTTTGGCCAGCGCCGGGGCGTCGTTGACGCCATCGCCTGGATCCGATCCAAAAAATCATGGATTTCACGGACAAAAATTGGGATTTCACTCACCTAAATGTGCGATTTCACACATTTCACCAGAAAAAGAAACATGGATTTCACCGACAAAAATGGGGATTTCACTCACCAAATGTGGGATTTCACACATTTCACCAGAAAAAAAAACATGGATTTCACCGACAAAAATTGGGAGTTCACTCACCTAAATGTGCGATTTCACACATTTCACCAGGAAAAAAAAACATGGGTTTCACCGACAAAAATGGGGATTTCACTCACCAAATGTGGGATTTCACACATTTCACCAGAAAAAACATGGATTTCACCGACAAAAATTGGGAGTTCACTCACCTAAATGTGCGATTTCACACATTTCACCAGAAAAAAACCATGGATTTCACCGACAAAAATGGGGAGTTCACTCACCAAAATGTGGGATTTCACACATTTCACCAGAAAAAAACATGGATTTCACCGACAAAAATGGGGAGTTCACGCACCAAATGTGCGATTTCACACATTTCACCAAAAAAAATATGGATTTCACCGACAAAAGTAAGGAGTTCACTCACGAAAATGCGGGATTTCACACATTTCACAAAAAAGAAAAACATGGATTTCACCGACAAAAATGCGGAGTTCACTCACCAAAATGTGTGATTTCACACATTTCACCAGAAAAAAACATGGATTTCACCGACAAAAATGGGGAGTTCACTCACCAAATGTGGGATTTCACACATTTCACCAGAAAAAAAAACATGGATTTCACCGACAAAAATGGGGAGTTCACTCACCAAAATGTGGGATTTCACCCATTTCACCAAAAAAAATGTTTCACCGACAAAAATGGGGAGTTCACTCACCAAAATGCGGGATGTCACACATTTCACCAGGAAAAAAAAACATGGATTTCACCGACAAAAATGGGGAGTTCACTCACCAAAATGTGGGATTTCACACATTTTCACAAAAAAGAAAAACATGGATTTCACCGACAAAAATGCGGAGTTCACTCACCAAAATGTGTGATTTCACACATTTCACCAGAAAAAAACATGGATTTCACCGACAAAAATGGGGAGTTCACTCACCAAATGTGGGATTTCACACATTTCACCAGAAAAAAAAACATGGATTTCACCGACAAAAATGGGGAGTTCACTCACCAAAATGTGGGATTTCACCCATTTCACCAAAAAAAATGTTTCACCGACAAAAATGGGGAGTTCACTCACCAAAATGCGGGATGTCACACATTTCACCAGGAAAAAAAAACATGGATTTCACCGACAAAAATGGGGAGTTCACTCACCAAAATGTGGGATTTCACACATTTCACCAGAAAAAAAAACATGGATTTTACCTACAAAATTTAGGGAATTCACCCAGAAAATGTGGACATGCACCGAATTTTAGCAAGAAAAATGATGCTTTGACCGATAAAAAGATGGTTTGACCGTTTGACCTGCAAGATGTGGGAATCAACCTGATTTAAACAGGATTTTTCATGATTTGACATCGTTTAACCAACCAAAGTGCGGATTTCACTAAAACTGGATTTGACCTTCAGGAACTATGGGCGCCTGTCATGCCCACCACCAAGCCCTTGTCTTGGAGCACTTGCACCACTTCCTTAGGGTGCAACCGTTAGCAATCCAGCCTCAAAACAGGAAAAAACTGACGCAAGCGTGGATGTTGCTTTTCGCTTGATCATCATGCACTCTACTGGACCCTGAAATGCAGATTCTCATTGCATCCATTCAAAAATGTTGTTCCTGATTTTCCGAATTTCCTCTTTGCTTATATACCTCCCAGGTTTTTTTCTGGGCATCCACATTTTGATTATTTAGATTCCCATCTCATTCTAACCATAATTTCTGCTGCTCATCTTCCAAGTCTTGGTCCCTTAGGACCGCCACGCATCGTGTTTGTCCAAGGGTTTTACCTTTGCAAAGCCATCCGCTTTCAAAACCTCATCGGAGGTGGGAAAAAAAAAGTGTGACTAATGGTGGATACATATTGATAAACCGATCATTTGTTGCTTGGGTTTAGGGAAAAAGTTACAGGCGATCATTTTTTGCTATCCCCACATATAGGGGGGTGCCTGCAGATTTTGTTTCGACCAATCTGTGGGAAACGTTGTAATATGTTGTAATTTCATGCAGTTTCCACCA